CATTTTTTTAATTGGTTTTTCTATATGTTTCTTACCAAGCTCGGTGTGTATTTTGACTGCACATGTCGCAACGGGGAAAAAAATTGAACACCGGTTTCTGCTGTAAACAATCCGCCATAATATTTTCCTTGCCAACATACCCACAATTCCTGATTGGCTCCCGTTCGAGGGGCGCAGCCAGGGTCTTTACCTTAGTGAAGTTCTATAGATCCACGGCGGTTTTCGAAATTTTATTAATTTAAAGTCGGAGAAGTTAGTACAGGAGACCTAAAGCTTTTTAAGCTATATTAATAAGCTAACAATAATTTGTTTGTTGATTATGATTGTGTAATTAGGCTTTTTAATCGGTGGAGATGCAAAGAAAAAGTTTTTGTTTGTTACTGATGAATTTGGAAGCTTATTTTATTTCATTTTTAATATTATGATTATGACTATTACTATTATTAACTATTATTATTTTGCTCTTTCTTTTCTTGTATTATCATACAATTATTATCCGTATGTGCCGAAATTTCACTAAGCTGACTAAACTGAAATAATGATCATGAAGTTAGTAGCACATTAAGTAAATTGCTCTTTCATTACATAATGTATGGGAATATGAGAAAAATAATTTGGAGGCAGTAGAGAAACAGTTTGGGGAGGGGGGGATCTGAAGGGGTCATTTTGGAAAAGGGCAAAGGTCGAGGTGTGGAGGATATGAGATGGTGATTATAGTTTGCATAATTTGGGCTGAAAATGTGGGGTTTAAGAAGAAGGTGGGTGAACAATAGTCTCTGAATGTATCAGGTGGGAAACAATGGAGTGCTGCTAAGATTGAAGAGCGTGTGATATTTGGGATTCCTTGGCTGGTAGTATAGGGAGGCTTATGATGGGGGAGGGAAGGGCATGATAAAATGTGGTATTACTTGGGTTGAACTAGATAACGTAGGGACTGGGAGATTGTGGTTGGATTATTGGGAAACTTTAAAGATGACATCAATACATGAGAAGTGAAGAGAAGGGCGGGTAATGGAACCAGTGGCATATGAAATGGAGAAGGGGCGGTCTGCCAAAGGGTGGCAACTCTGTTTCCATTATATTGACGATCGGCATATTTAGCCAGGATCCTGTGATATTTTGTCTTATTCAACATTTAAGATATAACTTGTGTATTAAATGTCTGCTTACAGATTTTTGCCCCGAGTAGTTGTCTTCTTAAACTGTGTAATAAATTGGGGGTAGGGGGTGAAGAGACGGAAGTATATCAAGGTAAATTACACGACTCATTCAAATGAGGCTACTCCCGTGGGGTTGTAATTATAAACAACTAGCTAGATTCCGCCAAGTAATGGCTGAGGCCATGCGTGAACTTCCCATCTACTTAAATAACTCGAAAAAGCATGCGCTGATGTTACACACTTCATAAGAATCCCAATTAGTGCTACACGCCACCACCCCCTCCCCCCCGCCCCAACTCCCTATTTTTTTCCAAGTGCGCCACCGCACACTCTTCGCATGCCCCCGAGTTATATTAATATTTTAATGTCCCCCCCCCCTTTTGTACACCGAAGGTTAATAACATCATATAAAGATTGATGTATACTGTATAATTATTATTAAAGCGTAACTTATATTGTTATATTGACACAATTTGTTCGTGTCTTATTAATCTATTTGAAAGCTTTATCGCAGTCCAACACTTTTTATAATTAGTTATATAAAGATTGAGAGGATTTCAATTAAACAAAAGAAAATTATGCGCACCAAACACGTTTGCTGTTGTTGTTCCCCCCCCCCCCCAACGATGACGTCAATGAAAACTTTGAAAATACTTTTTTCAGGATATTTATNTGTTCGTGTCTTATTAATCTATTTGAAAGCTTTATCGCAGTCCAACACTTTTTATAATTAGTTATATAAAGATTGAGAGGATTTCAATTAAACAAAAGAAAATTATGCGCACCAAACACGTTTGCTGTTGTTGTTCCCCCCCCCCCCAACGATGACGTCAATGAAAACTTTGAAAATCCTTATTTCAGGATATTTATCTCGTCATTCAACAAACAGGTAGGGCCTACACTGCTTTTACGGATAAATCTCAAGCTCGCAAATCTGGAACAACATCTTTACTAAAAAAATAAATATTATTTTAAAATTGAAGTGGAAACTAAAAGAAAACTGGTACAGTGGGGGGAAAAGAATCCCAGAAAAGCCCGAACAATGAAAGCTCCAAGTGTGTGTCCCCTGGTCCTGTGTGAATTTCAAAACGAGTTAAGATACAGATATTTTCTTACTTTGCAACAGTTCTTATCATCGGGTGGTTAGATGATGTGTATGTTATGGAGTATGCCAAACCATGCCATGGAAATGAGAGTAGAGAACATATTGTAGCAATCTTATTCTGCGTGTCATTTACTTAACTACCAACAAATCTTGGCTGTTATTGAGGATCCAGTGACCAGTGATATATATAATAAACATTAAAAGTGAAGGAAAAAAATGTGTACTTTGATGATATCAGGTCAGAGAATCCTCTATGGTCTACAAATAATATTTCTTGAATTGTAATAAAGAATTCTAATAAAAGGCTTTTTTAAACAAATTATTTTTAATTTTTAAAAAACGCGATTGCTGTATTTTTGATAACCTCATTTTTAGTGCAGTTTTGCGGGAATTTTATTTTGCCCGTATTATTGAGCGCCATTACTGCATACTTTATTTGTGTTCATATATGGGAAACTTTATTGATTGGATTTTAATTTAAACGATTTTTCATTTTCAAAGGGAAGTAACTGTCGACAATGGGTTCACTGTACATGTTTTTGATTGATTGATTGAATACTTTCATGATTCATGGCGCTCTTGTCCATGCTTTTAGTATGCTCACAGCGCTCTGCTGATTCATGGCGCTCTTGTCCATGCTTTTAGTATGCTCACAGCGCTCTGCTGATTCATGGCGCTCTTGTCCATGCTTTTAGTATGCTCACAGCGCTCTGCTGATTCATGGCGCTCTTGTCCATGCTTTTAGTATGCTCACAGCGCTCTGCTGTCCCTATATTTAAAAAGTAAAGTCTCTAAAAGTTTCTTAAATGACTTATCATTTTCAATTTCCCACAAAGATTGAGGTAAAACTGTTCCATAATTTTATTATGCGCAATAACTTCAAAAGAGCGTAGGCCTACTCTGTATTATTACTTTGTGTCCATCCACACTGGGAACTCTCAGTAAGGAGTGTGTTGAACAACGTAGATTCTGTAAAAAGACAAAAGTTTTTGAAAACATTAAGGTGCCGAGCTTTACGCCAGGGACAAAATTTTGTGGTCAGCTGGCTCACTCACAGAAAGCCAGCCAGTGGTGATCTTAAAGAACTGGATTGATGTGGCTGTTTTACGCGATACAATGCGTGCTGCAGAACATGTACGTTCTGGAGTCTCTGAATTTGATTGTAATACTATGCCATCTTATAATTAAATTAACGCAATTATCATTAATTACATTTTATTATTTCTTAGAATTTATTAACACTTGGAATTAATCATTACTTAGAACTGATTCTACTACGATAAAAGATTGTTTGTTGTTTTTGTAAGTGTGTGCCCATCATGCCCCATCTCTTCCAATAAGCCAAAAACTTAAAGTAGGCCTAACCATAATGCAACTTCCTCTCGCCCCCGTACCCCACCCTTTCGTAACAAACAATAATAAATAACAATAAATAGTAGGTACGTGATAACTCTTGACATGACAATGCGATTATAGTAATTTTAGTTATCAACGTACACATCGATAATTTTGTAATTTTTATAGCTATCAACGAACACGCTGATGACCTTGTAGTATTTATGGTACAGGTATTTGTAGTTATCATCGTACACATGCTCAACTAAAACTTTTCATCAAAGTCTTAGATTTTCAAGTCAACACAAAAATGAGGGATTTTTTTTCTTCACAAATTATCTTGACTAAGTATAAAGATCCCCCCCTCCCCTTTAATGTTAAGAAAGTGAATAATTTAATCAGAGATAGGTTTAATCATAAAAGAACTACCCTGAAAGTTTCTATATATTATTGTTAAATCATCCATGATACTTAATGGATCAGCGGGGACCCCACTGAACCGTTTGTTAGGACTTGAGGCTTTCTCGCATGGATTACAATGAACTAAGTCAATTTAAATCCTGACTAAATTCATTTAAGGTATCCTCTTTCAAACCATCATTGCGTCTTATTTATCTCAAGTGTACAAAAATATAATTTGTGAAGAGATGCATCATACAACATTGCAATTTTCCAGGTAACCAGTTATCTTTTCATCAATTTCAAACCATGTGTGTCCTACCCTAGCACCAGAGTTATACCCCCCCCCCCCACCCCAGCACCAGAGTTTTTCCCCCCCCCCCCCCCCAACAAATGCATGTAACCCTACTTGAGGGGATGACTGATTTTCTGTGATGTCAAAATTCATTAACTTACAAGAAAACGTTGAGTCTGAAAACTTGTCTCAGGCAATTTATGTTCCTCTACTGATAATAGGAAGGAACTAAGGTCTTGCCAGTCTTAAAATGCAGTTCTTTTATGTATATATATTATCATCTTGTGTCAAAGTATGTAGTTCACTACAAATATTTACCATGAATAATTAACTTCTAGATCTGCCTAATAAGACTTGATGTCACAATCATTCTTTACTTGCTTTCTGCATTTAAATTTAGAAATGGGCAGAAAACTGAATTATCTCTTTTCTAAGATGCTTCTTCTTCTATAAAGATTAAGGGCCCACAATCAATGTATTGATCGTTCTAGCCCCAATGGATGTAGAGGAGATTCACAATGTTTCTGTGCCTGGTATTGAAAAGGATATTTCACTGGTTGCAAGGGCTACACAGCGAGTGTCTCAGAAACTGGGGGGTTTAAAGGCCTGAGGCAATTAAGTCTAAACACTATGTCTAATGACAGCAGAAACATACAACTATTTTTAATACAAAAATCTATGCTCATAAAAACTATGAATACACATCATCTATTTGAAAAGCAGTTTTATTACATTCATTAAATTAGGGGGAAATGACGGATATAAAATATAAATCATAACAGACTTTTCTTGTACTGGTACATATCCAATCACACAAATATCAATTTTCCTGTCCTCCGTACTCAATAAATTCATTAAATGTAAAATTATGTCAACTATATATTTTAAATATATATTTTGTGATCATCAAAATCACTCCCCTATTATTTTTTAAGTTTACTAAAATAATTTATAGTTATAATTTATACCAATGAAAAAGTAATTTAAAAAAAAAAAAATGGAATTTTTCTGTTAAAAAATTTTTTGTGTGGTTTCAAAATATATTTAGTTTCATTAAACAATAAAATTATAGTTACCATTAACTATAACATAGATAATATTTTTCACCAAATTTATAGTGCATACATTTTAATAATTTAAAATAAAAACTCAACATTTGTATAAAAGCGATGATAACACCGTATCAATCAATCACACTTTTTCACATTTAAAATTTTTTTTACAGCCAAAGATTTGTGCCTTTTGAAACTTAACATCCGGCCACTGGAACCTCAGTGCTTTGCTTTGATTCATCAATTTCCAAGAGGACTTTCCTACACAACTGAACAGATTTCTTGTCTCCCAGGACCTCATACAAGCGACCAGCTTCTTTAATAAGATTTATTCTTTCACTGGAACCCCCTGTCATATTGGTGGGCAAGTGGCGACCTGCCATAAGCAGAGCTGTTGCTCTTTCCCTCTCTTGGGAATCATTATCCAGCAAAACATCAAAATCATCTGTTGATAGCAAGGGGAAAAATATGGAAATAGTTTTATAATCTTCAAGCTTTTATTATATTTCGAATATGTCACGTGTCCAAGTACAAACAAGTCAACCCCAAACTTAATAGAATAGAATGCTTTTCTTAAAACAATTTTGCCACCTAACATTTTTGTAGCAAAAAAGATTAAATCTTTCAGTGGGGTTGTTTAAATTACTGTCCATCAAAAAGAAAATGAGTGGATAACTGAAAGCTCAACCAAACCACTTTGCCAATGACGATTAATTATTAATAGGCAGAAGATTACCTTATGTGAAATTAAATTGAGGTGCTTTGAAAATGTGTTTTATAATTAATTGTAGGAAATTTATTGCAATATGTCATAACTGATCACACTATCACAATAATAGAGCTAAAATTTTATCATCAGGGAGTAAAAGAAAAGTTAATATAACCGATTTCAAATGTGTAAAAACTGTGATGTCAACCAGACCAGAGCTAGCATCAACTAAAAACTAAACAAATAGAATGCATAGTAGCTTCGACATTTGGGTAAAATTTTGATGGAAATAGAAATAAATAAAAATAACTGGTGAACTAAGGTAAAGACCAATTTATAACAGAATTGCTGATTACTGATTATTTTCCAGTTAAATGGGTGCTAACATAGTTTAAGACAAAAAAAAAATGTTACCTTTTTCTGACTGTAAAAGTTTATTTCTGTGCCTTATACTTCGATCTAAAAGCTGTTGTGTGCGGCCAGGACTGGCTCCTGCCATTATTCTTGAGGTTGCCTCATGAAGAAAAACCTTAAAGAAGACATGAATGGTGTAATGAACCTTGGTGAAGTCACTCATGTTATTTGAAAAGCCATGGAGATGAAAAATTGCAAGTTTAAAACAAATCTAGCAAATTCTTTATCTTTTAGATTAACTTGACTCACTTTTGGCAATGCTGCTTTCATGCTGTGAGATAATTTTCTTAAACTTCCCAAATCTTGCTGAAAAGCAATAAGTTCTGTTTGAGAGGCTGATTTTGAATTACACTCCTCATTATCAATCTCCCAAATATCAGTGCGTGTTGTCAAAAGCCAGTCACAGAGGAGCAGTTGAATACTCTGCAATTGAAAGTTATTTTTAAAATGAGTTACATGAAAATTTTTATTTTTAAACGAAATAGAAATTAAAAAGTTAAACTTACATTTTTTTAATTGTGTATATTTTAGGTATCTGCGTATTTTTGCCATGATTTTTAGTGGCCATCAAACCACATGACTTGGTTATTCTATGAATAAGCAGGTTTTTTAAGATTAGCAAGATTTTTTTATTTTTAAACATTCTTAAAAATGGCAAGTTTGGAATATAAAGGTAAAAAAATAAAACAAACCAAGTATGCTTTAACGGAAACAAAAGACAAGTATTAAATTTCAAAATTCTACTTTTTCAAATCTCCCCTCACCCTTCCAAAGAAAAATATGCCACAAATGGAATTCATTTCTCGAATAAAATTAGCAACAGAAATGTGCAACTAAATATGACAAATTAAATTGATCAGTATTTATATTTTAAGACGTTGATCAACTTAATGATGCACTTGGAGAAAAAATTTATTTAACTTGGATAGCAAAAGTTATTTTAAATTAACAACTAAAACAGTAAGTCTGAGCTGGAGTATTGTGCCCATATTTTCTTTCATGTTCACTTCATTGTATATTTATTACAATTACTACTTTTCACAGCTTCCAGTAATTTATTTTAAATTCTTGTATGTGGTTTTCTTTGTTTTGGATTAACAAACTACCACTTGTTTACACTGATAATTTGCTAATCCAGAAATTTGTACAAACCCAATTTGAATGATGGAATATTCATACAGGATTACTAAAATTTCATTATCCCAATGAATCTTTCCTTAAAAAGATTTATCAAAAAAATAAATTTTAAAAAAAAGTTTTTAAAAAAATTTTTTAGCAGAAAAAATTTCATTTTGAACATACTTCCATTACAACATTGCCACTCAAACAACATTCCTTCATTCCTACTGGCTTCATACATACAGTAACCAAAAATGTGTGCAGTATTAAAAAAAGCATTTTTTCCCCCTTAAGTCTAAAGGTTTAGGTCAAAGCTGTCATTTGATCTGCTCTATAAAAAAATTGTTGACATTTTAAGAAAAGAGAATGGAAATTTTGTAAGATTGGTGGTTACATTTAAACCAACATCAAAGTATGGAAAAAAGAATTTTTGATATGTAAATTTAATTTAAAAAATATGAGAAGAGACTTTTCTGGAAAATCCTCAAGATGATTTGTTGAAATTGGCTGCATCAATGGTTGCACTGCAGAAGCATTGCACATCATAAATTAACGCAATGCAACTACAATGCACCAATGACAACACCCTGTCTATATCTACATCATCTGAAAAGGAATGTGTTGATAGGACTACAAATAAAGGGGTGAGTGAAGAATTATTCTTTTTTTAAATTAGTACAAATTTCCTTCTTACTTTGACAATGGTGATATTTTCTGCTGTGTAGGCAAGTTTAAGACTTTCTCTCAAGAGCCTTCCTGCTCTGTCACACTGTCTGATAGAGGCCCTTAAGTTCTTTGCATCAGGCTGTACAAAAACATTTTTCCTGGCTTTGTATGCTAAGTACACTGCTCTTGGAAGTGGGTCACTAAGAATAAATTGTATAAATTATCACAAATTCTCATTTTTAAGAAAATAATATTTAAAATATTATGCTAGTAAGTTCATCTCTTTCTTTGGATGTTAAGGTGGTAACATGAATTACTCTTAATGCAGCAAACTTACTCAACTCCATGCAACTTTTTAGGGAAAACATCCAAGACTGAATAGTTTCTTGAAGCATTTTCATCATCCCCAGTTAGCCAGTGATGTGCCACAGACACAATGTTAGACCACCACAATGCAACTTCATCTAATTCTTAACAGTAAAAAAAAATTTATGTAAATAAATTATTGGAATGAAATCTGAATGCAAATAAAACTAAGACAAAGAACTATGCTTCACCTACACAAAGAATCAACCAAGTGAAATACCAATGACAAAAAATACCTCCAACTTTTGCTATTCCTGCCATTTCTGGATGTGTGCTTTGAGTACCAGAACTTAAACAGGAACATTCTGACAGAAGTTGTGCATATAAAAGTGGTTCGCCCAGTTTTCCTTTTTTAGATGGATCTTTGGGAGAGACCAGAGTAAATAGAGCTTGTTCCAGCAAATGTTCACGAAAAGCTTGTGTCACTCTAGCCAAAGGATCAACTGTAAAAGTAAAGAATCAATGTTTCTGTATAAACATGTACCTAGAAATAAAACAGTGCTAGTTATCACATATAATATTTCTCTTTGTATGTATGTAAGGCTGCAAAGATGTGTTTAATACACAAAATAAAATTCTCAGAAGTTAACCATTATTGGTGCGTTTTATAAAGTGTATTACTTGAATGCATGTTTTATCAAATAACTTCTTAAGTAGAGCACGCAATCAGCTGATATTTCAATAACATTTGTACCTTCAGTTCCCCTTGATGAAAAAATTGAGTCTTCAGTACCCTCAAACTTAACACTGTCAACAAAAAATCGATGTCCTTCAGGATGGCACAGCCACTGGATATTTGCAGGGACCTGGTCTCCACTCTTTTTACAAATGTGACGCGCTCGGCTAAGGAAATATCTCTGTCAATAATAACAATAAAATGGATCAGTATAAGTTTAGAATGAATGTTTAGATATTAATAGACAAACTTTGAACATTTATAAAATCAAAGTTGATTCAAAATCTACAATGAAATACAATCCATTTTACTATAGTAGTGAGATCTTAGAAATAGCTGAGACACTTATAGGGTAGTTTATTAGAGATTGTATACTAAAAAGCTGATGCAGTGGCATTAATTTTTGATGAAGGTAAATCATTTTAATAGTTAATCTCAGTAGAATTTCCATTAACTCTGTTGAGAAACCCACTTTCAAAAAGTAAATATCATGGAATCTAGAACACTTGTCAAGGAAAGTCTTATGTATGTTACAGATATAATGAATTTAATTTAAAAGCAGTAAAATAGACTTACGGCAACAAATTGGAAACCTTCAGGCAGCGAGGCTTTGATTTGTAACGCAGCAGTGGCATATATTCTTGCAAGTTCAAATCTCAACAAAGAATCTTTTGCGGCTTCTCCAATGTTAACAGCACTCAAAGCTAAGTTTAACCCCCATAGACGATTGCCTTTCACGTGACCTAAAAATATATTATGCAAACAAGGGTTTTAGGTATTTGGGCCTAATAAAGGCTTTAATTGCAAATTGAATTGAAATACTAAATTAGAAAACATCTGAGATAATTTGTCTAGGATTAAGTTTAACATGATAATCAATCATACCACTCAAGTGTAGTTGATTTAAAATATGAAAGACATTTGCAGCATCTCTTGCAGATTCTTTGACATCAACACTGTTATTTCCTGTTAGGCTTCCAGCCCGACTTGTCAGCCATCTACCAAGATAAAGACGATTAAGGCACTGCCTAAAGATTTGCCATCCAACACCAGAGAGTAGATCCACTTTTGAGGTTGGCAATGGTCGACCAAGAGCTAAGAGGCACTGACGCAACTGGTTGCTTGCAGATGTGTAGTCTGCCTAGTAATAATAGAAAAATTAAAAACATCTCATTTGATTAGGATAATAGATAGTGCAAGTGGGTGAAATATTATTATTTAAGTTTAAATCAATATTAATATCAGGATTTGTGAGGGGAAAAAACTTACTCTTGACATATCCAGGTCTGCTTGCCTTTTGTGCCTCCAGAATGCCACAGAAGCATCACTATTTTTTTTGGTAACTGGTTCTCCAAATATTAGAACTTTCGCAAGGACAAAGCTCACCAAAATGCCATTAAGAAGCCATAGTATGAGAGATGGATATATTCTATCATACCAGTTTGAAACAGATTCTGAAAAATAATTTTTTAAAATCAACTATAGGAATGCATGTTGGTTATGTTAATAACATTACTAATTCTGGCAGGCTGTAAGCCTTGCACACTAATAACATCACACAATGAGTCTTACCAGCTGCAAGGAGAGTTCTAGAATGATGAGATCCAGAGTCTGCACCCAATGGTGCATTAGAGTTGAAGAAATAGTTGAAGGGATTGAAAATGAGAACGCCAAACATAAACATGCACAGAAAGATCCGTGATCTATCCAGCATACCAGATTGCCCAGAATATATAATGTCATCAGCTGAAATATTAATTTTATAATAAGTAAATCATAATTATTACCTGTATGTAATACATGTATAAAATGCCTACCCATACTGCTTTACACTGCACCATTTAGTGTTCATTCCAGTTAGTTTTGTATTTTCTTTATTGAATTATCTATGTTGACCCCATATTAGAAATTGTAAAAAAGACATCTGCTTTTTCTTTTTAATACCCCACTTCTCATTATATAAAAAAAACTTAAACTAAAAGAAAAAAAATAGTTTAAATTTTAAAAAAAAAACCCATCTGTAAATGTCTTGGCTAGTTCATTAGATGATTTACTTCTTTCCACCACTAGCTTTATACTCACTGATCATGTCGTCACTGCCAGGGCTGTTGGGATTAGAGCAGTCATTTTCAGAAGGACTGGGGCTGTTTGCTCCAGATGAGTTGTCAGAATAAGGTGGTGTCATGGCTGAGGTGTCTGCATCAAGTGATGCACTTTCATTTAGTAAAAGTAGCTCTTGTGGATCTGAAAACATGTAATAAAATGCTTAATGCTTCACATGATTATCCATTTATTTAATTTGTCATGCAAATTTAGTGATTTAACACATTTTTAAAAAAAAGATACTTTGCTATCAATTAAAAAATAAAAATCTTACTTGTTTTGTTGATAATCATTTTAAGACTGAGATTCTCCTGTTTCAATCTCTTATTATCTCTCTGCAGATGTCTGATCATGTCTATGGCTTTACGCAGAATAGCAGATTTGTTCAACTGCAAGAAATTTTAACAGGGGTAAATTTCTTGAGACAAAAATAAATATTGGTTATATCTGTTAACATTTTTATCAAGCAAATTTTATTTTATACCTTTGCTTCAACTCCAGCAACAAGATTTTTAAGCTCAACAATCTTATCATTGATGCTAAGGCGGTAACGCTTTTCAATGGCATTATGGGCAGTACGCTTCTCTCCTTTACATTTCATTTTTGGTGCACTTGTTAAGCGATTTATTGGCATTTTATCTCCATCAAATACCTGAAAGTATAAGAAAAATTGTTTGCCTTTGAGAACAATGCCATCATATGAGAGTAAAATTATTATATGCCGTTTGTGTTGAAATTGTGTTGTATGTTGTAAACATCCAAACATGTTTGTGTTGAAATTGTGTGGCATAAAGTAACATTCAAGCATTTAATTAACTGGCTTTAACGATTTCTTAATAATAAAAGGTATCTAGATAAGACACAGGTATTTGGATTGGTGGAGCCCAACTAATTATCATTTCAGCGAATTCTTTGTTAACAAAAACTGACTAATCCTGCGAAATAAAACAAAACAAAAAACAGAGAAAGAACAAAATCTGACTACCTGAACAGGAATACTAGTAGTAACAATAGTATTGCCACCATCTGTAACAAGTGTTTGGAATGGTGATGTGGTGACAGTGCTTAATGTGGGTGTTGAACTCAAGGTTATTACATTGGTGCTGTTGCTTTGCTGTTCAGTCGGCTGATTTGCTTTGGCAACATGCTGCAGCAGCTTTAAAGCGAAATAAGAAAATGCATTTTTAAAGTAAAATAATGGGAGACATTTAACAATTTGACTTCTTGAAATGAAGTCTTTTGTGTTTTTTTATTTGCTGCAAATTATTAGGAATGAAATGTTCCAATTATAATTCAATAATTAATTTTTAAAAAGTTATAAAATGGGAGATACCTGCTGAAGCTGCTGAATATTGATCTGTGGATGCTGCTGAATGACTTGGACTTGTGGAGCTACAGTCTGAATCTGGCTGGGCTGCTGACGAATGTTAGTGTTGTTTGCATTGGTATTGATGAGAGGTTGTTGTAGAATTAGTTTCAGCTGTTGCTGTGATGTCTGCTTTGGTTGAATGGATCCACCGATGAGCCTCTAGAAGACACAGGGAAACATTAGACTTAAGCCCATTCATGGCTTAATGCAAAAAACAATTTAGTTTCAAACATTTAATTTAAACTTTGACAGTTACAACATCAGTTGGTAACACCAATGATAGATTCACCTGTAGTAAAAATGAAATAATGGATTCCTTCCACCTAACTTAGTGATAAATTAGAAATTGTATATAAAATATTCAAAACACTTACCTGGGCTGAAGCCTGCTGGGACAAGTGCTGTTTGATCTGTTGTTGTTTTTGAGCCTAAAACAAAAGAAAAATTAACTAATTAATTTCGGAAATTGTTATAATTTTTTGCTTGATGCATTATTAGTTAGTCATTCCTGATAATGAATTCTTTTAGTCTTCTATAGTCCAACTAATATCAAATTTAAATCCAGACAAATTAAATCAGTTTTAGATAACACAAATCATGAAGAAATCATTTCTACATACATATTCTACAATTTGTAAGAAAGGCTTCACTTGTTGTATCCCTGAATTTTTCAAATAATGCCAATGGGCAATATTAAGTCTAGTCTATGTGTGTAGAGTTTTTGGATTGCTGAGATAAGTTACACGGCAAAAGAAGTAGCTTTTTTTAAAAACATTCTTTAACACTTTTTTTAATATCCCCCAGTTATGGGTATATAGCCAGGTGAAAGGGATTTGTCAGCAAAATAAAGACCCAAATTCTTTGTGAATAGTTAAACCTTGAGTTAAAAAAAACACCAAAGTTGGAGCTAACTTTCTGAGGGATTAATAAAAGTTAAGTTAGAGCTGCCTAAATAAATGCCCGTGTCGTTTCTTGTGTCCTAATAATGAATAACTGAATAAACTGGAAATAGAAGAATTTTGTAAACTTTTAATTTATAATTAAAATATATGTTTTAATGTTAAATGAGTTATGAATAGTTTGATAATCTAGTATTTGTGGCATCTTTTGCCAGTGTTTAAAAAACACTTGAATTATCTCATTGGATTATCATTGAAAAGGTCAGAGTCTATTATAAACAGACAAAATATCTTTGCCCTGCATTATTAATTGGATCATTTGAAATTCTCTGCTTTTAAATGGCAAATTTTGGTTAACCATCTGAACAAAATTGCTCTTACTCAGTGTGATGTATAAAATTTGAAGAAAATCTTACAACAAACATTTAAGTATGAATTGTATGTCAGTGAAATCATTTAGGAAATAAATAGTTTGAATGTGTAAACAGCTACGGGAAGATCATTTGAGAACTTATGATGAAACCGATAGTTTTTATTAAAAATAGGACCTAGTGGAAATTAAATTTTAAGAGTTTGGAAGAGCCAACTACAGTTACCTCTTGCATCTGTTTTGCTTGAGCAGCATCATGTAGTTCTAAAAGTGTTTTCAATGCAGCTGATTGAGAGAGCTGTCCACTATTCAAAATATTCAAATGTGTTGTTACTGATTTAGACCCCTGAGGTACAGAGGGTTTCAAATCCTGTTTAAGTAGACTGGTGAGTTCACTTTGAGTGCCAGTAACTGGGAGCTCAAACTGGCATGGTATTGAACTTGGCTCCTGTTTAATTTCCACCTTAGAATCAGCTAAGGATATCTGGTGTTGAAGTCCAACTTCATCCACTTTAAATTCTGCATCACCAAAGTTGGGATCATTTCCAAGTGGCTGATCCAAGCCCAGATCTGTCTCCAAACCCAGTGATTGCTCTATGCCAATGTCATAGTTTTGGTTATTAAAGATGTCACCATCAGTTGGGATATCACCATTAATGTACTGAATTATATCTAAATCTGAAAACAAAAATCATTCTGACAAGTCAAATTATTAGTGAAGAATATTAATATAATTATAATTTGGTCTACAAATTTTTACAGAAATACTGTCAACTAACTAATTAGGCATAAATAAACTGTCTAATTTTTTTTTCCCTACTGGTACTATAGTGGCTCTTGTTTTATAATTAGTACATTAAAATAGTCATGTAGTGTAGCCTTAGCCTTAGTAAAAATTTTGCTTGAATTTCAAGATTAGCCTAGGGACACAATATTTTGGAAATATTTGACACCATCCCTCGATCATTTAATATTATCATTTATCAATGGACCCTTATAGAATTTATTGTATTCTACCACTTAAACTTAAGCGATGGCTATGCCGCCTAAGAAAGTGTTTTTCGGGTCCGAGTGCTATTTTACCGGAAATATCACCATGGACAGGGGAGAGATCAGAGATCCATTGATCATGGGCCCCCAAAATATAGAAGAAGTAGAAGAAGAGGGTAAATGGCTTTTCGCTGGTACTGAATAGAGAGGGTGTGCAGTGTTACTGAGTGTTTTCCTGTTGAGGTGCCACACTGATATGATAAATTAACAGGAGTGGATAGAAAGATATATTCTACCAGGTTCACATATTATTTTGAGTGGATGGGGGGCTTATGCCTACTTTTATGCAAACATAAATCAGACCAGACATGGAATTTACTTTACTTTACAAACAATGACATCAGGGTGCTATCTCTCCTAATTATCAAAAAATGGCAAAATAATACCTAACTTATAGTTAGTAGTAGGAGTAGTAGTAGTAACAGTTTACTGTTTTAGTCTAGTCTACAGTTTTCAGTTACAAGTCTACAGTCAACTCAGTCTCAGTCAGTTTGAGAGTTTCTGTAGGACTGTGGGAAGTTTCGTAACCCCAGTCTTGTACAACCAATCTTCATGATTTTACTTTAGGCCTAAAGTTCTTACTATTATTAACTGTACTATAAAAATTAGGGTAGTATTTAAAAAGGAAAAAAAAAGCCTAATTTAGATTCTTATCAGTCATCTATGCTATTCACTCAGTATTTCAATTTCACTATCTATTCAGTTATTCAGCTAAGCCTAAGTCGCCCACTCCTAACTTAAGAATAATCTGTGCAGCTGTAGTAGTCACATAATTCAAACAGCTGGAACACAGCTATTTAAACCCCTATTTAAAAATAATACATTACCGTCGAATGTAAGATTTTCATAATTATTTGATGACAGAAAATCATTATCCAATGTTGAGAAATTATCATTTCCAACCGACCATCTCAGTTGGTCAGCCATGTTTTGGCTTAAACTAGACTAATAACACCATTGCTTTCAACCAATCAGAAGCCTCCTTCGCGTGGGGTGATTTTTCGTCACTAGTTCAAGCTACAAAATTAGAACGTTTTCTAACCTCTTACCTCGGGTTGAGCTTATTTCCCAAAATGCACAATAAAATCATAAACTTTCCGAAAAATATTTACCTCACATTCCTTGAAACTCATTCTGGAACGACGTGAATTCTTTAAGTTAATGGACGACGAGGAGAGCGTTTGCACTATCTCTACTAACATTGTAATGTTATTTAGGCCTACTTATTCACAGATACATTCGTGTGCAGATCATTAACCAACACATTAATTTCAATTTAATATGTGACCCATTAATTAAAGTGAAAGAAATATTATTTTTAAAATTATGAAAAAATATAAATGTCATTTATGCATTTCATATTTTTGATAGCCTTTTTTATTATAGTTGTTTTTCATTTACAATTGAATGTGGATGTAAACTACAGTTTTTTGCAAAAACCTTTGAAGAATAAACTAAAAATTTAACTTTTGTTTGGGTTTTTATAACTTATATAGAAAAGACTTATTCGACACTTTATCAGGCTTTTTTCGGCAGAAAGCATCTATAAATGATGTGACATGCAAAGGCAAAGTAATATTAATTTCCCCTTCCCTTATCATACCCTATGCGAACATATATTATGCATAAGGAAATATTTGAAACAAGGTATCGGAAAACATGAAAAAAGCCTCCATTTAAAAAACGAATTTATAGGCAAGATCAGATGCCTTCATCGGCGAGCAGTACAAACAATCAAAGAGTAACACAAATACACAAATTAAAAATAAGCACTTAGCCGAATTCTCCTGCTGCCCTCTCGAATAAACATTTCATCTAAGTTGTAGCACACGTTGGTAAAACTTGGACCCTAAAAAAAAACAGCAGAAAACCTAAAATAAAAATATTAAATACATGATAGATAAAAGTTCTTCGGGAAATATACAGAACAACAAAGGATTGATATGGCTTATATGTATAGTGAATGTGAACCAACCGGGAATTGTATGAACTATGATCGGGATCCAACGATTGTAGCAGAATTATAAAATCAAAAAAAGGACAGACTGCGCTGGACATGATACTTAAAAAGAATTGAAATGACAAATGAGTAAGGAAGGTACACCGCCAAAACCCCAACAGCTGGGGAATCCAAGCATGGAAAAGAAAAGCATCAGCTAGGTCTGAGTGGAAGAAAGTGGTGAGGCAGGCCAAACGGTGCCGTTGGGGGGTACTTAACGGAGGAGTAGTACCTCTGAATGTGCAGCATTTGGATTCCGTTGGTTCCCACATGATGCGCAGCTCTCTCCCGTGGCTCCAAGAAGCTGTAGCATGCACAGCTCTCACCCGTGGCTTCAAGAAGCTGTAGCATGCACAGCTCTCTCCCGTGGATCCAAGAAGCTGTAGCATGCACAGCTCTCTCCCGTGGATCCAAGAAGTTTTAGCATGCACAGCTCTCTCCCGTGGCTCCAAGAAGTTTTAGCATGCACAGCTCTCTCCCGTGGATCCAAGAAGCTGTATCATGCACAGCTCTCACCCGTGGCTTCAAGAAGCTATAGCATGCACAGTGACAACACCAGTAAGAACGACTTCGACTAGCAGGCACAACCAGGTCGATAGCAGAACGATTTCAAGTATTCCGTAAAAAGGGCCTGTCCCCCTCAGCAAGTGAAGACTATGTCCGGAGGACTGCACGGAGGAAGCACCAGTTGGTCAACGGGCAGAAAGGCGGAGACAGCAACGCGCTGTGAATCGCTGTAGCGCCACGGGGTTTGAAGGATGGACATGATTTGACTGGTGGCATAAACTAGAGTTAACTGTGGTCCATGGCTCCTGGTTCAATCTATTTATGTAAATAATTCCGTATGTGTCAGTATGCGCATGAGGAATCCACATTCCTGGAAGACCCATACAATTTGATTTAACCCATAAAATCAGGTTTATTTTTATACCCCCCCCTTTTTTTTTTTGGACATAAAGTAGGCTACTTTTTGCTCAAAGAATGGCCCCGAACACCCAGCGCGGCCATTCGCGCCTGGATCCCATTAGACTAAATGCTATTCGGATGTCATTTGTGGTAGTTTATTTTAGTTCAACTGAAGAAGTAAGTTTAAAAACATATAGTCCGGGAATAGGCTTAACTAAAATCGATTCTTATTTTATAATTGTTTAAAACCAGCTTTTCCTAAAAGCAACAACCTCAAGTTCCTTGGTAGGTTTCTAAAAATAATGTCATCATTTGTTGATTAATTTCTATTTAAATACATCTTGTTTTATGCTGATCTGACTTCGAGTTTGCGCCACATTAAATGTCACCAGTGACTTATTATTTTAAACAGTGATAGAATGTGATCATGTAATCTGTATGTCCACTCAATATAAATTATTATCAATAGCTAATACATGTCTGCAAAACAAAGTGACCTTAGACTCGGGTGACCAAATCATGAACTTGAAAAAACGGGACACTTTCAAGGACGGCCTTGGGGGTGGGGAATACCGATACTAAAAACATTGCAAACTGTGCACTCGGCTTCACTATCATAGCCTGCCCTTTTAATATAGTTGCACTTTTTGGTTTACTCCTACATAAACTTGCATTGACGCTTGGGCATCATTATCGTCTACATGAGAAGATAATATAAAATTAAAGAATAAAGTTCAACACCCAAAACAAACACATGTCACTCTGACACGAACGGCCCGGCAGGGATCATACATAAGACTGTCACTCTGACACGAACAGCCCGGCAGGGATCACACATAAGACTGTCGCTCTGACACGAACAGCCCGGCAGGGATCACACATAAGACTGTCACTCTGACACGAACAGCCCGGCAGGGATCACACATAAGACTGTCACTCTGACACGAACAGCCCGGCAGGGATCACACAGTACATAAGACTAACACATTACGCGTAGCGGTAGTGGAATCAAAATTGTTTTCTACGCGCAGTTACATTCCCCCCCCCCCCTTCTTTGCTTCAAGTCTCGTGTCTTTCGCTATACATTTCAATATAAGATCTATGTCAGCGACCATGGTGGATAAAATTTTTTTCTACCCCCCGTTACATTCCCCCCCCCCCCCTTCTTTGCTTCAAGTCTCGTGTCTTTCGCTATACATTTCAATATAAGATCTATGTCAGCGACCATGGTGGAGGGGGGGGGGATAGTGCAGCCATCACGCGAACCCACATCACCACTGGCACTGGCTACACAGCTAGCCAAAATATTACTTGACGTTATATTATAAATTAGGAAGTTTTAGTGATTTGAAAGTGTGTTTGGTTTAAAAAACGGGACATTTAGGCGTCCCGAGAGACAATCCCGTTTTTACGGGATGTTTAGTCACCATGCCTTAGACTGTATTATCGGTCATTTACTTTTAGTAGATAACTTTTCTGACGCCAGCTTAACTCGATCCCACTAGGCACTGTGATGCGAGTAGTTATTGTATTCAGTTTTACATACTGTATGTTTATTTATTTAATATTAAGATACCATATTGTACGATTCTGAGACGATAATGTACAATTTTAGAAGCTCGAGGGCAAACAGGTCTGAAATAAATAAGAAAATCTAGATGTTACAATAATTTAAAATTGAAAACGGTAAATTAAGGCGCATAGCAGCCAGGAGGTCTCCACATGCGTGATTATCTACGAGTATTCTAAACATAATATTGAAATTTAAATTATATCACAACGTCTCGTGGTACATACTTTTTATCAAGCAAGTTGATGTACTGTCAGTGGGCCGGATCCGGCCCGCTTGCCGTAGTTTGGTGACCCCTGCTTACTTTAAGTTTAAGCGGGTTAGGATTTAGCGTTCACTTCAGAAGAGAAAAAAAAAAAAAAAAAAAAAGAGAATAACGAGCTCCTATGTCAAGTGTCTTTAAATTGTTGTGTTAAATTAACTGCAAACATGCCTCTTTTGTTTATAATAATAGTCGTCATCGTTTTAAAATGTTACATCATTTTGCCCAAGGCTCACTCGTCTCCCCGGTCCAGGCCAAAGATTGGTTGGGGATGTGCTAATGTCCCAAAGCCACCCCCCCCCACACACACACAGAAAAGGGGGTGGTGGCCTAAAGGTGAGTATTTTGAACCATAATATAGACAACCTAATATATATATATATATATATATATATATATATATATATATATATATATATATATATATTATATATATATATATATATATATATATATATATATATATATATATATATATATATATATATATATATATGTCAATATTTTGCCCGTGCTTATAGGCCTTAATCCATAATATCATAGAAAGGAGTAAATTAGAAAATATTTAATCTTATTATGTCTCTTAGACGAATACTTTTCAGTTGCAAGGCCGTGAAATGGGGGTGACTGCATCAACTTTTAAATACTAAATAATACGGTGGCTGTGCATCAGTTTTAAATACGAAATAATAGTGAATGTGCACCAGCTTTTAAATTACTAAATAATACAGTGACAGTGCACCAGTTTTAAATACTTAATAATACAGTGACTGTGCAACAGTTTTTAAATACTAAATAATACAGGGACTGTGCATCAGTTTTTAAATACTTAATAATACAGTGACTGTGCACCAGTTTTTAAATACTAAATAATACAGTGACTGTGCACCAGTTTTTAAATACTAAATAATACAGTGACTGTGCACCAGTTTTTAAATACTAAATAATACAGTGACTGTGTACCAGTTTTTAAATACTAAATAATACAGTGACTGTGCACCAGTTTTTAAATACTAAATAATACAGTGACTGTGTACCAGTTTTTAAATACTAAATAATACAGTGACTGTGTACCAGTTTTTAAATACTAAATAATACAGTGACTGTGTACCAGTTTTTAAATACTAAATAATACAGTGACTGTGCACAAGCTTTTAAAAACTAAATAATACAGTGACTGTGTACCAGTTTTTAAAAACTAAATAATACAGTGACTGTGTACCAGTTTTTAAATACTAAATAATACAGTGACTGTGTACCAGTTTTTAAAAA